AATAAGCGAAAAAATGACTGCCAACGTCTGGTCACTTTCAATCTTGGATGTTTTTGGAAACAGCAAATTTACATTCTTTTCTTCCTTTGATCACCCCCCCCCCCCTCCCCCCAGTAAAATCAACACAGTAATGTGTTTAAGATGACCTAAAAGGTCTTTTTGGAAGAAAATGATAGAGAATGCCCAAAGAGCGGAAAAAATGCTGGTTTCTTTGATTTTATTATTTTGAGGAGCGTCCAATTTCCCCATGATGACTCAAAACATGTAACAAAGTTCCCACTATAGATCTACAGGCATCTGGTGGTAAAAGAGTGTGAAGATTAAAATAGTTCACGTGGATTTTTTATCTTTGTAAGTCATTATCAAAGCATTAAAAGCTGTTCTCTATATTTGCGTCGTTCTTTGGACCAATTAAAATCGAATCAATATCCTTTAGAACAATTGCGTTTGAGACAAGGACTACTATAATCATAGTAGTCCTTGGTTTGAGATTAAAAGTTAAGATTCTCGTGCTGACAAAAGAAGTTTTAACTTCATTGCAGACTGAAAACTTTTTTTTTCATTCATGTCCAAAATTTCAGTCAAGAAAGCTTTAAAACTTTACCTCATTTTAGTCACTTTGTTTCTTGTCTGAAAGTAGTCTTAATTTTTTTTCTTCTATAAAAAACAACAACTGTTTTACTTCTTTACAACGCATGCCCTGAACGATTTGAGGTAAATTTGCGAGGTGTGTGTTATTAAAGAGGCCTTTTATTACAATGCATGCATCTATCATACTTCGATCATGTTCGTTGTAATGCCATGAATATCTCTAAAAAAATGTTGCCTCTGCCTGTTTATAGTTTTGTTAGATCTATCTCTATATCATAATAATATTTAGTTTCCCTTTTCTTAGTTCCTTGAATCTAGAATTTTAATTTTGGAAATGCCCCCTTGTGTTACGTGATTTAAAAGTTGATATCTTACGTCTGTGTCAAAGGGGGCTTTCCGCCAAACCCTGACTCGACTAGTTACAGTATATATTCTGTTCCGTTTCACCATGGCTGATCTGAGGGTGCCTGAGAAAAATCACAAAAGTCCACTGTTCGACCACCATCAGAAATGTAGTAGAGTATTTAGGAGAACTATACAATAATCTATTGACCTTGAGATCAACAGGAGAATATGGCAATGGGTAAGGCATACTCTCAGAATGTTAGCTCACAAAACAAAACCTGAGGTGGAACCCCCAGGGGATGAGAAAGAGAGGAAGACCGAGACTTAGAGGTGAACGAAGATGATGTAGATCTACAGCCACAGAAAAATTCACATAGGGAAAATGAAGCTTTATCTCATTTTGTCTATCTTATAAAGTAGGGATAGTTTGTTTTTTACTTCTTGCCTTTCTCTGGTTGTCCCTAGGTGAGGTCTTTTGGTTATCCCCTTCTTCCAAGGGGCGACTACGTCGTGGTTAAGCGAAGCTGAACTACAAGAGCAGTGAAAATGCTGCGGGGACGCCCCATTTTTCTGTAATCTACGAGTACTTCGTCTATGCTGAACCTAGTCTTGTCATGCTTTTCCACCGTACGTCCTGGGGTCATTTTGTACCCCGGGGTTGTATTCTTCACATTTTAGAATACTTCTAGTACGAAGCTCTCTTTGAAACTTTCAATATTTCTCTAAATATCATTTTGACAAACTGCTATGCAAAGCGTACTGATCTGATTAACGAGTAAATTTCATCTTTGGAAAGTGGTGGCACAGTGTTCCCAACGTCGTAAGGATACGATAGTAAAACACGATGTACAGTCCCCTTCGAGGAAAGTACTTTCTCCAGATGAAGAGGTGATTACGTGCTTCCAGAGGGCAGGCTTTGTCCTCTTTGAACTTATAATATTTTATTACTCAGTGGTCTTGAGATAATTTAATTTTTTTTTCATAGTTGTCGGTGTTTTTCTACGCCTTTATCAACACAGTTTTGACCATTTATGAGGCGGGCTTCTACCTCGCCTGTCAGGGAAAACCAGGGCAGAGAGGGATAGGCCCTACAATGTACCAGTAAAAAGACCGAGGTACTCGATATAGATTTTCCCGACACCGGCATCGAACTCAGGTCTTCTGCGCGTGACGATGAAGGCCTTAATTACTTCACTCGACAGATGCCGGTGATTTGAAATCGAGATCCACATTAATATATATTACTACATGTACTATATTTTCAGGCTTATTCATTATTGTCCCTGGCCTGTTACCTTTACTATAACCATCATTGTACACCTTTCCACTTCAGAACTTATGGGACACTCCATTAGCTCAGATGATATAACACTGGATTACGAAACAGATGGCCCTGGTTCGAATCCCAGATTGGGCGTTCTTGAAAGCAGGTCGTTTTGTGGAGTTTTCAAGGCTAACAACAACACATCTGACTCGGTCCTACAAGACACGGACGTTAAATTCGGAGGTCCCGCCTCTTACGTAATCTAGTAGCCTACATGTAGTTTTAATAGGGGCAATAGCTTACAAACCTATCGTCATGCGGTGCCTTGCCCACTGGCGTGGGCGATCATGGACCTCCACTTGACTCTGTCTTGCGTTGCTGCGATGGTCTCTGTCGTTCTTGCTGTTCCCAGCCATGTTGCCATCTTGTCCAGTATCTTTTCCCTCTGTCTGCCTCTGCCTCTCTTTCCATCAAACTAGCCTGTTGTTACAATATTTTCCAATGCTTCTTTCCGCATTGTGCGTCCAATGAAATTTGCCTGTCGCTTTCGTATATATTCATCATAAGCTTTTGTCTGCAATTTGCTTCAACTTCAACCATACACTATTTTTTTTACTAAGAACTTGCTGACATAAGCTGTAATTTCATACTAGGGGGAGATGGAGTGGCTTATGAAGGACGAGGCTGGGACAGAAACACAAAGTATTCGGACACATTAAGTGAATTTTTAATGGGTTTTAAAACATTTTTTTTTGGTAAGTTTTATGGCACTCGCAACTACTTAAGGTCATATGAACGCCCGGGACACAAGTTGGTTATGTTCACGTTAGTTCACAGCCCGTCTTGGTGAGTGAAGGAACAAGGCAACTTATTCATGGAATTGCCAAGGTAACATTTTACCCCCCCCCCCCCCTTTTCCCATTCAACACAATTTAGATCATTTATGAGCCAAACTGCTTCGATCTCTAACTTTCGGGGTAAATCTGGTCTGAACAGAATACAAAACCCCAGCAAACAGAGATATTCGACAGATAAATAATTATTTTTTAAAAAAGAATTTTAAAAAACCAAAACTTTCCACGCTTGGGAATCAAACTCATGACTCAAAAACTAGATGATGGACGAGGTGCACTGGGGGATATAGTAGAGGAAAACAACCCCCCCCCCTCCCCCCCAAAAAAAAATAAAAATAATATTTTTACAAATTTTATGTAAGAGAACATTTACAGGAAAGAAGTACAAATGTATTTCCCCCAACACATCGCGTCTGGAAAGCAAGCAACATCTCACTGTGCACCAAGATTCGACTCTTTAACTCCAATGTCAAGTCTGTGCTCCTCTAAGGCTGCAAAACTTGGAAGACAACAATGACAGTAGGCCTACTGAATAAAGCCCAGACTTTCACCAACAGATGTATGAGGAGTATCCTAAGAATTAAGCGGCAAGATAGAATAAGAAATGAAGAGCTGTGGGAAAGGACAGGACAAAAGGATATAGAAGTAGAAAAGGACTAAAAAATGTGGCGATGGATGGGACACACCTTCAGAAAGCCCAGCGGGAAAATCACAAGACAGTCGCTGCAGTGGAACCCACTGGGAGCACGAGGCAGGGCTAGGCCACGGGAAACATGGAGATGTGTGGACCGGGACATGAGAGAGATGAATCTCACTTGAATTTGAAACGAGCTTGGAAGGATGACCCAGGACAGAGATAAATGGAAAGAGTTTGAAAGTGGCCTATGCCCTGCCAGAGGTGGAAGGCATTGATGATGATGACATCGTGTGGGTTTTGGATAATAATATAACATACAGTCATCAACACCAGAATCCACGACGGTGAAATCCACTTCACCCAGCTTATCTATATCCTACATTTCTACAACAGTAAAACCTTTAAAACACGAACCTCACAGGACCAGAGAATTTGTTTGTGTCGTCAAACTCAATTTTTGGTTGAGCAGAGCGCTAATGAAAGGAACAAAAAAGGGATGTAACTCCTTTTTAAGTCTTTGCTGCAACCAGAACTGATAAAATCATTTGCTAGACCTTGTGCAATTTTAGTCATTAATAAACGTGTAAAACTGCCAATGTTGGGAAATTGAAAATAAGAAACCTATTTCAAACCTCAGATGTATGCCTTTACCCTACAGAATGAGGTTCAAAGGAGGTTGTAGCTATTTACCTGATGATTTTCCACACTAAAAACAAATAATAAAAGATGGCATCAATACTAGCAGCACATCATATAAAGATAATCTGAACAATAAAAATACCCCCACTTTCAATCCCAGTCTCAGCTCAGAATAAACATGGCGTTAAAGACAAAAAAAAGAGGGAAAGGAAAGACACTTTCTTCTGTAATTACCAATTATTAGTAAAGCTTTACTGTACAAAAAAAATTATTTTCTTATAAAACAAGTCAATTGGACTCAAACTGCAAGACATGATCACGGAACATAGAAAAGGATTTGTATTCTGACATTTTACTGAAACCAACTAATCCTAGAATTATTGCTATTTTGTAAACATTGTAAAAAATCTTCACAATTTTTACATTTTACAAATTATATATATATAGAAAAACCCGCCTCTTAAATACTGTAACAGTGTTGATAGGGGCGTTAAACCTATACCATTCCATCATTTTCACCTTTAGAGGAAGATTGATGTGTATAAATAACCTAGATTGTGTCTGTGTGTTAACATAAGTGTTTTGAGAAGAATACTTATATTGTGTGGGGGAAGAAAACAAAAAAACTTGTACAAAAAATAGTTCTTGATTCAAGCAGAAAATCAAAGGCTATTTGAAAATGATATTCTGTTTATTAACTTGTACAAACAATAGATATACTCTATTATGGCTACAACAGATCTCAAATGAATACAAATATGCCGTCAGCATGTGACTAATCCATATATTAACTCTTTACCAACGTAACGGACACGTGTGGCATCGTCACTTCGAGGTGAAATCAGGCAGTGGTCAAAATAATGAAACGGAAGAAACTGGCATTTTTTCTGCCCATTGAGCAATTTTTATCTCCATTTGGGGGTGGGGAGCTCAGCTCAGGACCTGTTATGTCCATTAAAAAACACATTCCTGTGTGGATTTTACTTTAAAATGTTGATTAGAGGCAAACAAAATGTAAATTTGAAATTTCTAAGGACACTCAAGCTTTGGAAGTCATTCAATTTTGGCAGCCATTCTCTATGATTTTACCTCTGACTCCTGGCAACCCAAACCTTCTTCGATCACAAATATATCTTGACTTCTATTCAAGACAAATGGGCATTTTCTTCATTAAAAGCAACACAGATGAACAGGCTTTAACCTACTTTAAGATTATACCAATAACTCCATATGCCTAAAAATGGACAAGTGCCTGATCCCACCGTGTTGTGAAACAAAATGTGTCAGGTGTGCTGACAAAATGAGTTGCTTATCGCAATCCACAAATGGAGATATTGACTGAAAATCGACACTAAGGTCAAATTTATAATTTTTTTTTATTGTGCCATATTCTTTAAGTATAACATGCCTTTTATTATTTCATACTTATAAATTATAAAAACTTCACCTCTAGGCGTGATGTATCCTTTTCCATATGGCTCGAATCCGAGAGTTAACTTATTTTGTCAGCACGCTTCACATAATATGACCAATCAGTAGCAGACCAAAGGCAATGTTAAGGCACTTTTCAAACCATCATTAATAAATTAGAAACATGAATTTGCATAAGTCATGGTATGACTATTATTGCCTGCCTTTTTAATTTTCAGACATATATTATAATACGAGCCAAAAAATTAGTAAGTATAACGAAGTCGTGCTTTTTTAAAAAAGTGTCTCCCAAAAGTGCGTTAGTGATCATTATAAAATGACCAGATCGCATGTCCTCAAACTCAAAGAGTTCAGCACTCGAGTGAGGTGGTACAAGGTAACTGAACTAAAGCAATCACCCCTGTGTTAGTAACATAATCTATCATTATTTCAACAAAAGATAAGATGAATGTTTGAATTGTTCAGAACTGCGATTTGAACACTTAGTGTGAAAGTAAAAGTACATGCAAAAGAATAAGTCACCAAAACCCTCTGAACATATTGAGATTCCTGTTTATTAGAGACTATATTTGGAACTATTGTTAAAAACTATTCTCAAATCACAATCAGTAACAGCCATTTGTCTATTCATCTCCTTACCTGTCCTCTATTTGTCCAAATATCTCTCTCTCTCTCTCTCTCATTCTTACTGTCAGCTCTTCAATTCCTTACTTTTAACCTCTCTTTCTTCACTTCCACCCCCTCGACAATAACGCATGCATGCACAATCCCACAAATGCTTCGTCACTTAAATAACAATTTCTGAAAAATAGAGAAAAAAGAACACTTCAGGAGCTGAGCTGTTTTTCAAGTTCCTCGGGAGAATTCACGGGAAGGGAGCAGGCAAAGTTCTCACACACATATGCTGTGGCCTGGCCATCCACCTTAGTCAGTTGGCTTATGATCTCCAGATGATGGCCCACAAAACTGTCCGCTTGACCACTAGAGAGCAAAAGTACCTTGTTCGGCAGGAAGTTGGAATGAACCACTTTCAGCAGATTCTGGGTGTCTTCTGAATCTTTGTCGCCAACAACGACGATCTATAAAAGAGAATGGACTTGATTTGAGTTGTAGTTCATTGCTAATCAGCACCATTACAGCCATGTTTTACTAGGCACAGAAAGCTATTTAGCAAATCCCATTTCCCAATGATGGCACAAAGGAGAAAAAAAAAGGAATATTGGAAAAATATGATCCACCTTCTCAAAATAAAACAGGATAACGTTAATATAGGAGTTACAGATTAAAACATTGAAATCATGACCACTGACGGTACAAAGAAAAAATGTAATATTAGGAACAATAATATGATGTAACTTCTCAAAATAAAACATGACAATGTTAAGAGATGAAAAAAAAAAGAAAGAAGTCATGAAAATGATTCATTGACAACAAAATCAAATTCATTAAGTTGGTTGCCTGAGAGGTAAGTTCCTTGCTCCTCAAGCTTTATTAATTTTCTAGACTTCCTAGTTCAAACAAACAATGTCAGTGGAGAACCAGGGCATGGAGGTTGCAGTTAATCAGGAATTTGCCCTATACTGTACATATGATAATTATCATTATTTTTCTGCTCAAGCTTGCAACCTGCTTGCTGCTAGGGTAAGATAGGAGGCCCACGTATTTCATCCTCTAAAGAATACTTGGAGGTCACGTGTGTATTCTAAAGTCACCTTGGCTATTGAAAATTCTAAGAGGAAGGCATGTTCAGGTCAGCAACATGGGTACAATTCTGAAGTTAATCAGACCCAAAACTAACGAAAATCTAATCATTATGAAAAACTTGTATGCTGTATTTCATTCAGGTGCAAAACGGGAAGGGGGGAGGGGAATGAATGTTAATCAATGCTACAATCTGAGGACAAGGGTTCTTCTTCAATAACGAACAAATGTACAGAAGAACTATGATTTGTTCATCTAAACTTCAAGACAGAAGGAAACTGTTACTGGTGAGGAAAGAAAACAAGTATAACTAGGAGAAAGTGAGTGCCTAACAAGAGTGACCATATGATCACGAATCAATGAAAAAAAGAGACAACACTATTTTCTCACCTGTTTCGGGGTGGCATGATAAAACATCAAAGCTGAAGCAAGCTCTGGAACAGCAATGGGCACTTTCTCCAACCTCTCCGAAAACACCCGAAAGATTCTCTCAGCCTTGCCGTGCAGCTCCCTGTCATTCAACATGGCAGCCAGACGAAGCAGATTCATTGCCGACACTGAGTTGGCACTTGGTTCTGCTCCATCTTGATCTGAGAACAAGGAGAAAATCTGTGACTTACAATGACAGATTTAGTCGGAGTGTTGATTTTTTTCCTCTAATAAGAGCAACCATATGCCGGCTTCATATTTTCTTGTTCATTTGTAGTAAAAATGGGTAGGATGAGGTTTTTGTAAAAAGATGGGTTATTGTTACAATGGTTTCGACTACAGAATCTTTTTTTTTTCTTCAATTCACTACACAAAAACCCCCAACAAAATGAAGAGTGTCGAACCACGCTTCAAAATACCTCTTAATTTATCTATCAATACTTACAAATGGTCTTACAAATATCCCACTGCGCAACAAACAAGAAAATTTGAGGGTCTTATTTACCAAGCACCACTCTAATGTTGTGCAACGCAGCAACTAGGAGAGCAATGTAATCCATAGCAAAAGGCCTTTGCTGTAGGGACTCTGTGAGAGCATTTCAACCCTCCCATTCATCACTGACATAGGTAAAAATACAAGGTGCTCAGTAGAGGCAAAAAAATAAAATCCCTGTTATTTCAGGCAGGACGTTATCTTAAAACACATTATTTCATTGTCTAAATCAGTTTACTATCCTCAACAGAGGAATGAGACCAGTCGATTCGCCTCATCGAACTCTACAGCATATTTGACTTTCATTACCAAATTTATTTTTACATACTACAATGTTCAATGGCGCTGATGATTTGATCGAATTCTACCACCACTCACTGCATGTTTCATTTTGATTTAAAACTTCCAATTTTTTAATTGTTTTAAAACAGTAAATAACATTCCTAATATTGAGAGAGGGTTATAAAATACTCCAAGTCCCAGGCTATCAGACCCCCCCCCCCCCCCCCCTCAGGGCAGTGCCACAGACTGAAGTGTCTTTAGGCCATTCTCAAAGGGGGGATATTAACATATTCTTATTTACAGTAGAATTGTAAATGGGTTGACTTATCAATGTCATGCTCATACTGTGCCGGAACAACATAGGGGGCACTGCTGCTTTTCTTTCCTCATCTTTACTATTGTCATTTTTCCTCTACTTCTTTTGTATGTTTGTTACTCTCTTGTGAACTGCTATTTCCGGGGTGCCTTGATAGTCGAAGACGACTATGTGCTGTTGAGGCTAGATAGGAGAGCAGAGTAAGCCTGATTCCCCGTTTGGACTTCTCTGTTGACATCCACCCCTGAGTGCTCATATGACCTTATGCAGTTGTGAGCACCATAAAACCTTATTAAAACTTTGAAACAAAGACTATCAGATGACAGAAAGCCTCACCGTCTTTCATCCTCAGCACAATTGAGCTGTCCCCTTCGGCACTGGAGAAATATGCGCCATCTTCCTCATCCCAGAAAAGCTCGTTCTGTTTTCTCTGAAGCTGTTCTGCCCACTCTAACCACTGCTCATCATAGCAGGCCTCATACAGATCCAGAAGGCCCCGGATCACAAAAGCATAGTCATCTGCAAAACCTTCAATGGGTTTGGATCTGAAAGTATGAGGGGAAAGAAAGGAAATATTTATGTCAGTTACAATAAATTTGTGGATGATTTACACACTTAAAAAAACAAAAACAGAGAGAATCTCCCTGCAATAAAGGAGTTTTAGATAGACAACAAAAGCCTATTCCCTCTCTTATTGGGTATAACATGGCAAAACTGGTTTGATGGAATTGGAGAGAATGGAAAATGACTAACAGTTTGAGTCAAACTAAAGACTAAAGGTTTATCTATTTTCAACAGTATTAAATGTCTAATTAAATTCTTGGTGAACTCTGATCAATATGCATTCATCTGTAAACCTGAGTTTCTGCTTTAAAAAAATAATTCAGGTCTGACCAGTCGGACAATAATCTACAACGCTTTTAAGAATTCAAAATGATAAACGATAGAAACTTTAACATCCAGTCAGTCATCCTTATATAGAGTAGTGGTGACATAATGAACTATTGTAGTGAAGTTATGCAAGCAAAGGGTGAAAAACCACAGCCTTTCTAAAGACAATCAAACTGATGCTATAACACATCATCTTCAATCAATGCAGTACTTACTACCGCTTACAATGGCAGGGTAGGTAACATCTTTTTAAAAACCCCACTAGTAGCATTAAACATTCATTCACACAACTAAGGGGAACAATCTTATGAATAGAAAAAGGCTATTCAAGGGGACTTCAGCCCTATACAAACCCCAAAATATTTAGATATCTCATCATGGAAAGGACATCCTAATTCATCACTAATCATGTTCACTTTGCATTCAGTAACAGAGCAGGTGGTTGGAGGGAACCCTGGTAATTCCTTCTTTTTTCTTTGTTGTTGTTGGTGGTTGGAGGGAACCCTGGTAATTACTTCTTTTTTCTTTGCTGTTACTGTCTATCTGTTTCACTTTATCCCTGCACTAAATGATCATTATTGTATCCAAGTGTTTGTCTTTTCTCAAATAAACAAAAGTATCTGTAACAGAACAGAAATGGGGTTTGCAGCTTTACGCAGAGCTTAAAAAGGTAGCAAGTAAGAGGACAGTGGCCTCTAAATACAGCATAACGCACCACAGCTTAATACAGAGGTGACGCAAGAAATGACATACCATTGGAAAAAATTATTGCAGAACAGACTTTTTTAACTCCCACTACAGCTGACCTATCCTTTTTGAAAGTGGACACTGGCCAAAAGGAGAGCCTTGACTTCATTTCTTTCGAAGAAGTTTTCAAGAGCTTTACACATATTTCTTCTGCAACTAGATACAGATAGCACGAGACAGTTTTAAATCAGGAACTCCTTTTTTCAGAGGCTACTCACGAAAATCCCATTAAGATTGAACATTTATTACCTGCATTTATGCTGACATTTTCAAAGACAATTCATCCTTGCAAAACTCCCCAAAATAAATCTTTGCTATGTTGCACAGTATGCAGACAAACCCTACATGCCTAACCATGTGACATTTATGTTTGAGAAACGACCAATAAACTTACATCTGGGAGACACCGTCAGACTCAGACGTGTATGAACTGCGGAGCAAAATCCCTGTTTCGGACACAAACATGTTCTCTTTGAGAAACCTTGCTGCCCCAACAGCTCGAGTCACTAACGTGGGGTCACTTAGTGCTTGGGCTCCCTTGGCAAAGCCAGAAATCATCAAACCTGTCAACAAAAAGACAAGGTTAAAGGGGTTTACGGTTAAAATCTGCTGAGTCTTACTTCACTTCAATACAACAAATGATAATATCATCAGTTGAGTCAAGAACCGATAACATGAGACTATTTGTGTGATCAGCTCCCGAGTTTTTTTGCTGACTCATAAAGGGTGCTAAAGGAGACGAAACTATTTTCCTATTATTGCTCAATTTCCACCATAGCTGAAACTTTGGACAAAAAATAGAGGCTTGATTTGTCTGCAGGAAGTGCTCACATTTGTCATTGGCAGGACTAAGTCTAGCAAAATGTGACCTTGTAGACTCCATAGACACCAAAGAGAGGTTAAAAACTCTGTGGAGTTGCACACTTAAATCTTGGAGCCATAACTCAGCTCCATCAGATCTATAGAGAAAATACATCTCACTTCTGATTCACTGAGGAAAATGTATCTCTCCAACCAAATATTTCTTCAATGCAGATCACGGCTCCCCGAATGGTATGAGGGCACCAATGCTACAAGTAGCACAAGTGTAAAATGATGAACAGACCAAAACCTACATGGTGTAGTGTGGGTGGTGATGACCTTATAAACTCTTGAAAAGGCTATATATGAGGCAGGATGTAAAAGTTCCATCTACCTCCAATATGATTGAGTCAAGCAGGTGAAGAACCTTGAAATCTCTCTAAGCAAACCAAGTTCAAGAATGCCCACTGAGCAACTCCAGTAACAGTCATCCACGCGGAATTGCATCATAGAACCAACTGCTCTACCGGCACACTGAACTCCACATGATACCAACCATTCTATCGACATATCTGATAGAAAAGAGAATCCACGACCCTGATACTCACCATTCCAGGCTGAAACCATTTTGTTATCCAAATGTGGTCGAGGTCTTTCTTGCCGTGCCTGGAACAAAATCTCTTGACACTTCTTCAAGGCCACCATGACCTCCGGGACTGACAGACTGAACTTGGCCGCAGTATCTTCAAGACTGGAAGTCATGATCAGCACATTCTGGTTCTTCAATTCATCATGTGGGTCCTGACAGTAGATTTGGGAAAACTTCTTTAAACTTCATGTCAACCTTTGTCTTTTTTATAAAAAGATGTCAACTTCTGTAAATATGTAATATTTACACAATGCGCTGAAAGTCTTGATTTTGATCTGTAATTCTACAAACGAGTTCAGAAAATAAATAATTTCATCAGAATGTGAGTCATTTTTCTTTAATATGATCAATTCTACCATATATAACAAAAATGTGTAATACTACTGCAGACTAGGTATGAACATGTGCTAACAGAAAAGATGAACCCATTGAACCCTACCCCTGATAACAACAGTTTTCTTCAACATTGGCAGTGTCCAATCAGTGCCGTGTTGCCAAGTAAATCATGACATCAAACAATTCTTTTTTGTCCATTTTTAACAGTCAATCATTATATATAATGAAGTAAACTACTGCTAGGAGAAAAAGGTGAAGAATAATATTTCAAGTGACAAAATTCCAATTCATCACATGACTTGGTTTTCCTTTTACGACATTGTCAGTTCACCACAGTGCAGTATTCATGGCACAGAGCAATTTGAAATGATTGCAGCAGCTGATTCAGATGAACAATTTCATTAAAGCAACAAAAGTGACACTGGAAAATGTTGTTATGTGTTGTAACACACTTTTTTTGGTTAATTTTCTTGTACATTTGTTTATAAAATGTGTAGCTTTTGGTGTCTCATTAGCATTCTTTAAAAAACAAATTATTTTGGATCCTTCTTTATTTCTATGCATCAGAAACGTTTTCATGTATTGAATTCAAATTCAATTATTGGTAAAAACTAATTCAATTTTATTTTCATAGCTTTTTGGTTACTAATTTCCTTTTCTGCTACTTTTGAAAACCACCATAAACCCAGACGAAAAGAATAACAGCAACTCACATCCTAATGATCTAACCAGTGTTGATGGGAGTAAAATTCATTTTCAATCAATCACAATTTCCCCTTAACTAAAAAATCTCTCCTTTCCTGACCTGCAAAGGGTCAACATTGCCCCCCTCCTGTACGCCGTAGTAGTGACAGAACACGTCAGCTAGCGAGACTATGCTCTGGTTCTCCACCATCCCAGACAGAAGATGCTGCAGTTCCTCAAACTTCCACACACAAAAAGCACCCTCCTTCTTCTCTGACGATGAGGCCGTCGGGAGGGAGTCTGCATCTTCGGCACTGTAAAAGCCACCAGCCTGAGATAAACCACAACAACATATTTTTCAGCAGCAGAAAGTAGAGAAATAGTATTTCAAAGTAAAAACTTAAAAGTAAGGGCAAAGAGCACATCTTTTAAAAATGTCTCAACCATATCGTTAACACTTTCTCTTAACCCTCTTAGCGTTGCTAAGAAATAGTCTGTGGTGTTATGGAAATAATAAGTCACCATGTTACACTGAAAAAATGTTGGAGAACAGGTAAACCAAAACAGTGGAGGCCATAAACCTATACATTGCTAGAGAGTAGGCTATACATAGTAAGTAGAACTCATTTGGAAAGGAGTTAAAATGTTTGACGATACTAAAAAAAAGGATAAATGAAACAAAATAGGGACTGAAATTACAGTCGTGTAAATGGACTGCGACACTACAAAACAAAACTTAAGGCCAATTTAAGTAGCTCTCAACACTTGGAGGGTTAAGAGGAATGAAACTTCTAGAACAAATATCTTTAAATAATACAAGAAAAAAATGCAATCTGTCTCAATCCCAGCTTTTTGTGAAAACGATTTAATGTTCGGAACTCTTCATTTATTTTTAAACGTCAATGTCAGAATAATCATATATACATGCAGTGAGAATAAATACTTCCAAAAATCTTTCCAAAAGTTCATTTTCCACAGTACTGGAATATTTCAGGAAGTTCTTAACCTTATTTCACACAATTCTCCATCAATGATAGGACATGTTTTTAATGTTTCAACACCTGTGTATTATGCAGTAAAGAAAATATACAGCACAGAACACAAAAAACAAAGTATATTATATTACAGTATAAGAATATTAAAACTACTGTACATTAACAATTTTTTAAAACCAGAAGGGAAAACAGTGATTGTGACTTACTGGGTGGCTTAGATCACGGTTCACATATGCAAAGATGTCCCTTGCCACATCAGCAAAAAGAGAATCTTTAGTTATCTGGAAACAACCAATATTAAACAATAAATACATCTATTTGATACTAAAATCACAATTGCAATATTCCTGAAGACAAAAAAGAATAACCCATTTTTCCTCATAAAGATATGTCTTTACACATGCAAGGTTAGCTCATTCTCCCTGAGAATATCTATAATTTCACTAACATAGCTTTGTGTACTTGCTTCTTCGACACTATTTCATGATAAACTAGCTGGTTTTTTACTTTTACAGCCAGTGTTATTTGACATCTATCAATAATCAGGAGAAATAAGATAATAATAATGATAAACGTCAAAAACAAGAGAGCACAGATCCAATACACTCTTTTGACAGTACTCTCTTTAATTATAACAATTAACAGTTGATCGTAACATAAACATAGGCCAAAAATAATGAGGGGTACCAGCTGGTTACAAAAGAAAATTCAGAACTTTTTGGACCCACGGTAAAGTGTGCTCAGCACCCTGGGACTCAAAATTCATGGGTCACACTGTCTAAAATATCCTGTGTCAAGACTCTTTATACTAAGTGCAAAATCAGGACAATTTCATGAATCTACATTTCCCTAATCATCTGAAAAATTGGCACCTTTGTAGGTGTACCTAGGGATGAAAACAAAATACACAGACATGCAGTACACTTTTTCACCAAGCATTAGACTCTGACCTGGTATGCCTCTGAGTATGCCACCGCTAGTTGACCTTGATCATAGAGCATCTTCTCGAAATGGGGCACATGCCAGGTTCTGTCCGTGGAGTAGCGGTGAAAACCCTGTGGATATTTGCCACATTGGAGATCAACACCAGAAGTTTTCGCCTTGTTACAAAGCAAACAAAAAACTGTCTACCTCGTATTTCAGTAGAATGTGATTGTTTAGCCGTGACAATAGCTACACCATGAAACATACAAGACAAAGGGTGGAGAGATCTCTCCCATTCAGTTCTGGGAGGAGCACAACAGAATGAACTTTGTTGACAGACATTTATCTTTTATTGAATACATGTATATGGACACTGGATATTATAAAAGAAGAGACACTTCAAGACATCAAGTAGACAAGTGGACAGAGTACTTATATATTTTAAAAAACTGTAGATCACTTTATAAATTTGGAGAACAAAATAAATAACTCATACCTGAGAGATGTGGTCATGTATGCCTCCATTGGCCATTTTAGTGAGAGTGAGGAGACACATATGGAGAGCGCGAGCTCCCGTTTCATCATTAGGTTCAGAATGAAACAAGCGGAACAGAGCTCCAAGGTTAACTGTGGACAACACAGTGACACATATTTCATCAAGACATGTCTTGAGAATTTTTGTTTTGATTTAGTAAGTTTACTTGTGAGAAGGACCGACATCACAGCACAAGGGGCATCCCCATAAGCGCTCCGTCCCCTGAAGAAGCACATCTCGAAGTGTGTAGATGCTGACGGTTCCAAGCAATGGTTGAACATAGCCTTCTGCTCCTCCCACAAAGTCTTGAACTTCTGCAGGCGCCCCATCCAATTCCAAGCTTTAAACATTTGGAGAACAAAATAAATAACTCATACCTGAGAGATGTGGTCATGTATGCCTCCATTGGTCATTTTAGTAAGTGTTTTATGGCACTTGAAACACAATAAGGATATATAAACATAGAAGATTACAGATGTCATAAAAGAGTAATAAACACAGCAAAAAAATGAGGAGCGATAAGGACGATAGATGTTAGATAGGAAAGGAGTAGACCACTTTAGAACACCCGCCGACCACCCATTGTTCTGAAAATAATCCAAAACTTACAAATGATAAAAAGAATGGGCAGCAAGAAGAAAGAGTGCTCAAAAGTTTTAGTTATTTTGAAAGTAATTCACAATGGTTATATTATTATAAATGTGTACAATAACAAGTAAGTCCCTACTGATTATGCAGGATCTTCAAAACCATAGAGAGAAAACTGGCCTTATCTGAGATTTTCCCCGGGTTCTTGCACGTGTCCACAATCTGTCCTCTAAATCAAAGATGTTTTTCTAGGTCAAGCTGGATTTAACACAGGGGAACACACCTCCCAAGTAACACATTTAGAGCAAAAACATGAGGAAGGCCTATTTCTCCTTCTTCCAAATAATAGCCATGGGGCTCTCTTAAAATTTGAATCATTACTCCCTTCGTCCAAGGAGTATTAGATAGGTTAAAATATGCACGTTGACCTCTGCTGTTGTGGTAGGTAAAAAATGGGAACTTACTGCTCACGGGACCATTACATATATACGAGGCCAGTCTTCTAAATCTAGCTTCAGACCTGACAAAGATGCATTGACAAGACCACCTTCCCGGCCAGACCCACTAATGTGTAGACCCAATTTGTCCAATAGGCATTAGTCTACATTTGACATAATAAGACGATGCATTAACTGACATATTAAGAACGCAAATGTAAGTCAGTAAATTATTCTCATAATGGGCACAAGGGCTTCTCATTTCCTCTTTCAACAAACAATGAAAAACCCCCCCAAAAAAACTTAAGACAGACCAGGCTGAGGAAATTTCGGAGCTGTGCCAAATCCCCCTCGCTCCTCATCAAAGCTGCTGTCCAGCATTTCGTATAGCTTAGCTGTGCAGGTGACAGCTGGTACAGTGGCTGACTGGTGTTCTGATGCATGGGAAGCTCTCATGAGAGCATCTAGGATCTTTGTCCCCTGTCCTTCTATCTCAGCACGCTTTTCTTTCCACTGCAAAGAGAAAACATTAACCAAAAAAAGTTGACTGTTATATAATCCTACTCTCAAATCCTAGCTATAATGTAATTCTGGACGTAAATGTGCAATGCAAATTCATTCTTCAAAAGGTGCAGAATAAACAAACAGGCATTTACTCTTTTTTCAGAGATCTAGAAATTACAGAAGAAGAAGAGCTCTTTTAACAATAAGTAACTTTTAATAAAAATTACACTCATGCATTTCTTCAGGATACAGACATAAAATGCAGAATTATGCCCATCATAGAAAAGCCTAGAAATAATTATGTATTTTATCCTGATATCTTATTAAAATATCAAAATGGATTAACAACCCAAAAAAAAAAAGGGAGGGGGATTATACCTCAGGGTAGACCCACAAGAATTTTTTAAAGTAATTAACGGACAGAAAATTAGTAAAGTGGCATAAAAATTCGTAATACGACCATGGAAAATCTTCTCTGATGGGGTGTCAAGGACAGGAGTAGTAGTCCAGTGTAGTATAAATGCAAGGTAAACAAAGATGTGATGTTACAAAAGGGAAGGAATTTTCAAACACTCTGTCAATCTAATGTTTGCCTTACTCCTGGCTTTGATACTTCTAAAGTCTGAAGTTTTTCTAAGGGCAAAGTGGCACTGTGCCACCACAAGTGCTCAAGGCAAAGAGCTTGTCTGTGTTACTACTGTTAAAGTTAGACAGCTGCACGTGACGTAGTCTGTCCAGGTCTAGTAGTTTTTCTGTTTTTCTCCCCTTATACACCAGGAAGGTTGGCAGTGGGTTGGGGTAGCCAAAATTATTCCCAAAAATTGGAATCAGGGGTATCATGATTGAATTTTCGTAAAATTGAATAAAATTCATACCGATTCCGCCAAATTCGTAAATGTGGGCAGCCTTGAAATCTTACAGTCTTCCATTATTATACAAATCAAAGTAACAGAAGGTTTTTAAAATTTAAATACAATAACAGTACAGTGAAATCCTGTTAAAACGAGACGGAGGGGACCGGTGCAAAATGTCCGTTATAGCAGGATTCTCGCTATAAGGGATCCAGTAATAAATTAAAGGGAAACTGTAAAGTAGGCCTAATCTATGAGTTTGGTGTTCTGTTTATTTCCTTTTGCTATCTCCCCTGATGATGATTTTATTTCAACATGACCTCTAGGTCTTACTTGACCAAAATCTAACCTGGTTTCTTTCTCTAGCGCTAGCGATGTTGACTGACAGCTCGGTGTTGGCGATCAGAAAGAAAGGGCTCTGGGCTAACTCGCCCGCTGTGTTGTCCCCCTCCCCACCACACCCTGTGCTGCATTCCGTCTGCTTGCGCACGTCACGCATTCGCTCCATCCATCACATTGCTGTGACCTCTCCATCCCCGCATCGGAGAAGTGAGAGGCATGGTAGGCCTTGATAATCTAAACTAGGTTCACGCGGGCCTATTACGCGATGCGTTCTGCTTGTCTGCGCAAGCCACATCCTCCCTACTCATTTGCTCCGGCCTTCATTGTTGACACACATGGGCTCTCCCATTCTGTTTCACTAGATTACCAACAAGTTTCTCAACTGGTGAGGTTTTACATTATGTATAAATGGCCTATGCACTGTGCACAGCAGCAGGAATATTCCGCTATAACCGACTCGCATGTTTGTTTGATAGCGCTATAGCAGTAAGTATTTTATTTACAAAGGTAAAGAAGAGAAAAAAACCGGGGTTTATGAATAGTGTCTTTATAACAGACTTCTCGTTGTTTCAGGACTCGTTATAAGTGGACTCCACTATATTACACAATCAAATAATGGATGAACTAAATCTGAACAAACTTTTGGTAAAAATACTACCCCCTGACCGCTGAATTGTTTGTAAAACTTGAATAATTACCTGCTCTGCGATAAGCTTCACAATGGTCTTGAATCCGGGTCTCCCATAATAACGGTCATCGGGAGGAAAATAGGTACCACCAACGATTGGCTTCAGATCTGGGGTCAGCCAGACACTCATAGGCCAGCCGCCTCCTCCAGTGGAGGCCTGAGAAAATCAACAAAGGTGGTCAGAAAAGCTCTGACAGACAACAGTCACAGGGAACATAAGTGGTAAGTACTTTCCATATACGCCCCTGCAGGTGGGGGGGCCCCATAGTTTTACACCTGCCATGACACTGTGTGTCGTAAGAGGCGACTAAAGGTGCAAAGGTCTGGTCACCTGAAAAGTGCCAGTTTGCGGAGGGCCAACTACCCGACCTAGTAAAAAACAGACAGTTACAGAAACACGGACAAACACAGCTTTTTATTTTTTTATCTTGGGAGATGGAGGAGCTGCTGCATCAGCAGGAATGATGAAGGACAGCGGACAAAGCCGAAAATAAGACCCCGGGGAACCTGGAGAAGACTCACAGAAATTGATGTGCAGTGTACAGAAAAGTGGGAAGACATGGAATAACATCAAGAGGGTAGCCCAGAATAGAGAAAGGTGGAAAGTGTTTGTCAGTGGCCTATACCCTGGTGCAGGGTGAGAAAGGCAATGATGATGATTTTCCATATAATCTTACATTGACATTTTTCTGGCCACAGTGTAAGGTCACTTGTAGTTGTAGCGACGAGAGATGCACTATACACACCATTCTTCTGAAAGGTGGTCTACTCTATAAACTAAAACAGGGGTTAAAACGTACAAAGTCCAGAGAGTAAAACTTCAGAAACCATACAAGAGAGAAAAAAAAGTTTCATTATTTAACAATTGTACCCTAAATTATAGTGTATTAAAATTTTTCTCTGTTTTCAACAATAAGAATTAAATTTAGATGAAATGCAACCGATATCACAGATTAAGAAAGTGCAATTTTTTTCAATTTCCAAATTTGGGGCTTAGTACATTTTAACACCTGGCCAACGATTTGCTCACTAGAGTCTGTTTGGCAGGAACAAATAAAATAATGACCATGAGTAAAGTAGACCTAAACTAGCTAGCTTCAACCGCCAAGGTGACTTTGACATACACAATGTACACACAAGACTCCTGGAAATTTTCATATAATTGTCAGAATAATCTATAAAGGCTTGATCTTGATTCAAAATTCATTAAAAAAAACAGGGTTGAAAACAATCCAAATTTTGAACGGCCTGGAATGAATAAATCTAGGCGGGTATAGTATAAGACCAAAAACTTTTGTCATAAGAGTGATGCTAACTTCATAAAAATACTTCAAATCATGATTCATTAAAAGGGAAGGCACTACTATACCTGTACAAAAGTCATGTACACTTTATCTACATCAGGACGTTCCTCTCTGTCAACTTTAATGTTAACGAAGTTTTCGTTCAATAGTTTGCCAATTTCAGCATTCTCGAAAGATTCTCGCTCCATCACATGGCACCAATGGCAAGTTGAATATCCAACAGACAGGAAAATTGGCTTGTTCTCTTCACGAGCCTTCTCAAATGCTTCTGGACCCCATGGAAACCTTTAAAAAAATGATATTATGATGATAGTGCAAAAGAAAGTATACAAACGGTTAATATAATATTCTATCAAAAAGTTGTGTAGAAATATCCCCACACATGATTCTCTGCAAATGTTTACTTGATATTGTCACTCCATATTAATGTAAAGCAAGTAAAAAAAAAGATGATCCCACTTTGCCTAAAAACAGATTAACAGAGCAACTGTAGAATAATACTGAAAACAATATAATATAATATACACATGAACAGTAGAAATTGTCTCAGATGGCCACCCATAGTTTAGGAGAAAAGTGTTTATCTTAGACAGGACTGATCAAAATGAAGGAAACAAGCTTTTCCTTCATGAGGTCTCATCAGGAGACATTCACAGGTTCAGGACTGCCAAAAGGCCCATTAAAATTATACCAACTGGTCAACTTGGGAAAATAACAGGAGAGATCAGTTCGACAGTCTCACCTTCACAACGTACTAGAAAGGGAATGGTTCATTCATATATGACAGGAAAATTACGACAGAAATGGGCAATGACAGTTTGTCCACAGTGTCCAGGGTCGATAAATGATTAAATGCATCGAGCAATGATGGATTTGCATTTATTGCTGGTTTTTTGACAGTAGTGGAAGCAATGGAGAGGTTATCGTTTTAGGCAGTGCCATTTCTAGAAAAGAAACAGAACAGAAAGTGCCTTAAGGAAAGTGACCACATAAAGGTAGTTGTGTTAAACAGTTATCTATATATGTGTCACAACATGGTGGGATCAGGCACTTGTCAATTTTTGGAGAGTTATTATTAATATTTATTACAGCTAGTTCATTTGTCTCCCCTTTAATGGAAAAAAATGTAACTTTAAAATAGAAGTGGAGACATTTATGATGTGTAAGGATATGAGAAGGGGGTTGCCTGATTTCAGTGGTAAAATTAGTGAGAAAATGACCACCAAAGTTTCGTGACTTCCCAAGCTTGAGAGTTCTTGGAAACTATGTGTCACGACATGGCGGAATCAGGCACTCATCAGTTCTTGGGCAGATGTATACATGTGCCTTAATTTGATCAAGGTTTTTCATAAAAATTCACACAGAAATGTGCTTTTAAATTGACATTATCTATTTCAGATTTCAAAATGATTTATTGATTTGAAAGGCCTTTGGCCCATACATCCACACATTTTAACATATGGCTTGGCAATTACATACATTGGTGCAGAACATTCGGATATTTAACATAAATTGGGCACACACGCAGGAAAGCACGCACACACACACATATACACACTCATAATCACACACATACGTACGACGCATAATTTTATTTAATTAAAAACTTTAACAAAAAAATGCACTTTATTAGAAACTGCCCTGGTACACCACTTTTATTATAATGATCAAAAGTTAAGATATAAGCCGTATTTTTGTTTTGCGGTGCAACTTTCAATTATACTGAAACCAAAACTCCGATGGAGTCCGCTAAAATCGAAATCTGCGGAGCTGCCGAATTTTCTTTTGTTGAGACGAGCTTTCACTACTTTCAGTTTAGAGAGGTTCAAAAGTTGTTAAAATAAATAAAGAAAATCAGGGGCTTCTTTCCTTTTCGTTTAAACCATTGTTTTCAGAAAAAAAATGTTTGTTCTAGTTAAAGCGAGCCCCATTGTCCTATTTTGTGAAAGAAACACAAAGATGATGATAGAAAAAAGAGATTTTATTAATGGCCTACAATATGGTGTAAGCAATCTCATCATGTAGGCCTATATAGAACCATATAGAAATTCAATTCTAAGCATATATTTGCACTCACCAGTCCACAGGGTTGTGAGCATGTTGCAGCAAATAAGGGGACTTTTCAAAAGAAAGTCTATTAGAGTTGGCTGATGGGCTACTCGAGCCAGTTGTGCTACTCGAAGAAGCAGACATTGTTTGTTGAACTGAGGATGCGGGCTTCGTCAACCTGGTCAGTAGGGATGGTGCGTCCAGTCTCTTAGCTATAATGTGAGTATTTGTAGACGTATGCAATCTTGACAAGTTTGAAAAAATACCACAATCCCAAGGCCTGCTTCCTTGGCCTGGATGAAAAAAATGCTTATGATTAGTAGTATTTGTAGGGGATTTATACAAAGTCAAGTTTACATTTACAGTAGTATTTGCCTTTGCGGGCCAAGAGGACGTGAAGGAGACGCGTCCTGCATACAGAAATGTCGCAGAACTGCACCTGGGGCCATATACTGAAACCTGTGCTGCACCCCCTTCTTTTGGATGACTTGGACCAGGTTTCAACACCGGCGAAGCTACACTTGATTTTGCTGATGACACAGACACAGGCTGGACAGCAACTGCCACTGCGGAAAGCTGTGCATTTTGAGATTGAGCCTTACGTAGCCCACATCTGCAAGTTATATAACTCCTCGACGTTGTCAGATACATTTATAAAACAATATCTTCTAGATCTAGATTTAGAGCTTGATTTAATACCATTCCAGCTCTAGTGTGCATGTTGGGCAAGGTTGGAGTATCCTTCACCTGCAGATGATCATGTTGACAGCCGAGAGAAGAATGGAAAGTGAAAAGAACGAAAGAAAGAATAAAATCAGTGACCTAAAGGTCAACAATACAAATAGGGTCATTTCCTGTTGCAATGCGAAATCGAAAGTTGATGATTGAATCTCTACCTTTCGTTTATTAAAAAGAAAAGAAATGAATGTGAATGTTGTGTGAAGACATGTAGACCTTTGAAAAGATCATTGCAATACTATTCTTTCAATGTTAAAAGTAAACCAAAAAAAACAAAAACTTCTGGAGCAACTGTATGCTTTGGTATAATGTTTAAGTATTTTAGATGACCTCCGCAAGCATGTCGTCTCTGTGGCGCAATCGGTTAGCGCGTTCGGCTGTTAACCGAAAGGTTGGTGGTTCGAGCCCACCCAGGGACGAATTTTTTTTTCTTTCACTGTGTCTTTATTTTACGATCCGTTTCGCCTCCAATAAATTCTGACCACTTGTATAATATTTTTTCCTACATGTTTTTAAAAACTATTCAGTAAGTTCAATCATTAAAATGTAAATTCGCAAAAATAAATATAAATCTGATGAAAAATCATGTAGATCTAATGTATATTGTTATTATTTATTAAGGTCCTTGGCCTAAAGCACTTATTCACTGGTCATCAGACACGGCTAGTCCACTTTTTGTTATTATTTTTTTCCACCAGGAAGTGGTCTATGTGGGCTTCTTCAAGTGGGCATACTGCCTTGGCTATTCTTTCTCTGTTCGCCCTGCGGGGTCCCATCTATCCCTTTCAGCCTAAAGCTGGCTCTGAAAGGCAGAATCGAAGCAGCCCGCCCCCTACGCAATTTAGATTACATTTTCACTACAAACCAAGAAGAAGAAGAAGAAGAATTTTTTGTGTGTGTTTCCTCAATGTGCCTGGAGGACTCCATGAAGAAATCTTCGAGCGAGAGCGAGGCTCTTTTTCGGCTCCATTGTCAATAAATACTTCGAGGCACCTCCACTCCTCCAAATAACTCCATCCCAATTGTCATTTTTCCTGAACATTCAAACATAATTATGTTAGGCTTCCTCCCTTTCATGAGCTCTTCATTTGCAAAGTTCTTATACCATCTCAAGCTCCAATGATGGTCCGATCGCAGTCTCGCTAGCTCAAACTGGTCCCGGCGACATGTGATACTTTGTTCCTGCTTGTTGGAGTACCCAGAATACACATTTTCCAGGTGCTGGTATTTAGCTCTGCATGGTGGGTCTCTGATTTCCCTCTTGATAATTGGAAAAACTCCTCTGTATGTTGTTGGTCGTCTGTCTCCTTCAATCTCTCTGGCTTCATTAGTAGCTTGGTCTGCTGCCTCATTTCCGTCGATTCTAAAATGGCTTGGAATTGACTTGATTTTTATTGTGGCTGTGGCTTCATTGAACTTGCGACGCAAATCATTTATGTCTGAGCTGCTGATGATGATGATCCCTTCTGTCCACAGTGTCCAGGGCCGATAAATGATTAAATGCATCGAGCAATGATGGA